ATACTTGATAGATTTGTTTAAGTTCAACGCGTAGATTTGGTAAAGTTAAGAGTTAGGCGGATCCTAACGTCTTGACCACAGTAAGCCATAGTTAAGAAATTTCGAGTAGAGACTTGATAACGTGACCATCTCGAGTTGAAGAATTTCACGGTGACAATATATATATTACCTATCAGAATTTTTATATTTATGATCTTGTCACACCTTTGTATTAGTTAGATTTAATATTTTACAAATTTATTAATTGTATTGGATTTCAAATTCATGATTTTGTACTAATATTAATTTTATTATTATTATGCTAAATTGCATATCACATAATTACATTATTATTAGTCAGTTAAATAATTAAATCATTTATTATTTAACTTTTAGAATAACCTTAATGACAAATAACTAATGATTAGTGTATAAAATTCATATACACAATGTGTATATATGCACATTAAATTTTTTTGTGCATATATTATACAGTATAAAATATGCATAAATAATTATTAAAATAGATAAATTATATATAAAAATAGATAAATTATTTATAAAGATGGAAATATTACGTAATATGTATATTAATTTTCTATATTTAAAATAACTTGTATATATGACTTTTGGTTTAAATTTTATACATTGCTAATGATCTAAGTCATTTGATATCATTTAGATTGTATATTATCACTATCTTCTCATGAGTATAAAATTTGTATAACAAAAAAAATTAATAAATACAACTGTAAAAATCGAAAAAACTGATAAATTTTAAAAATAGTAGAGCTAATCAGTTTTTTGTCAACAAAATTTTTTTTGCTATAAAAATAATAAGTATTTTTTATTAATAGTAATAAAAGAGATAAGCTAACTGAAAAATATAAATCTTTATCTAAAAATGATAATAATTTATTTTCTAAACTGACTCTAAAAAAAAAAAAAAAACTTTAATTATGTAGATTTCATAGTATTAATGTTCCTTTTGCTAAAAGAAAAATTAAGTAAAATAAATAATATAATGTTTTGATCAAATATAAAAATCATTTAATAACTGGAAATTTTTATAGACAAAAATTTTTTTTATAATATTTAAAAAAACTGATAAATAAAAACCTATCGACAAAATTTGAAATTCTATTTTTAATCTTGTATAATAATTATAACGATGTAACAATATCAAACATCACATTATTTATTTTATGCGTTGAGTTCACGTACTTAAATATAATTATTATTTTTTTTTCCTTCAAGTTCTCTATACTTGTTAAACTATTAAAAAAATTTTTAAACTATCATTAAAAAAATACTTTAAATTTGTTCCTTGCAAGTTTTAATTGCTAAAAAATTTTGTTGTCTGCATTGCTTTTATTAACGATATAGATATATGTAGGTATTTTACTTTATTTTGAAAAAAATCAATAATAATAAACTTTTTTACAAAAAATTCTTAGGCGTATTAAGATTCTTTTTAAAAGAGAAAAAGGTTAGTTAATTATTGAGCAGTAACTTTTTACTAAGTTCTTGCATTCCCTGAAGTGTTACGTTTTAAACAGGAAGATCAGTATCTTTACAAGTAGCTGATTTTTTTTGCCAGATTTTTGCAACTCTTATAGTGTTATATCGCAAGTAGATACGATCTATTAAAACTAGCTTTTTGGTAAAAATCTACTGATTCTGAAGATAGAATTAGTTATATACCTTTTTTGGTATGCTTGCATCTAACCAGTACTTATTTACTGTATAATTCTTTTATAAAGTCTGATTCTATAAGAATAAGTAAGATGTTGAATATTGAAAGTTCTTGAAAAATTTTGGGTGATATTACAAATGAGCATGTAGAAATCAATATATAGATTTAAAAATGAAGGTAGGTATCTCATCTAAAGAAAAAAGAATAATAGACTTATATGTAAATGCAAATACCTTATCCACATTGATCAAAAGGAAAAAACAATAATACAAAGTAAGATAATTTTGACATTTTCTAGAAGTTTTTCATAATATATTTCATTCTTATATTGGTTTGTTTGTTTATAGAGAAGCTTAGTCAAAAACAAGTATTATCTTGTGTTCTACCATCTATTACATATCCTTTAGATACTAGTAATACTATGCATATGAAAGGTGTAATACCAGCAATTGTAAATAATTAGACAGGATTTTTTAATGACAAATCAGTACAGAACCAAAATTTAATAAGCTAGATTTTAATAAGAATATAGTCATATGCATTAAAGATGATGATTATATCAAATAATCTTTTAGAGAAAAAATATTTTTTTCAAAACAAAAACTCTCTGACTTTGCCTATAAAAGAAGACCAAATGTCACTTATTGTTATGAAAATAAAATAATATTCTGATTGAATTTAAGAGATAATTAGTCTTAATGTTACAGTAAATCAAAAACAAGTTAGATTATTTTTCTAACAGCAAAACTAAGAATATAGTTGATCAAATCTACTCTTATATGGTAGAACTATAACTTCAGTATGAAATGCTTTTCACCTATAATGATCATTGGTTCTTATATTGGCTAAAAGATAATCCATCTGAACTTCAGATATCACCTACTCTTTCACTTGATACACTATTACCAGTTCATAAAGCCTATGCATATTTGGCTCATATTATTGAATCATTAAGGTTTTGCTTATCAACTTTAAATAAAGGTTCAGGAGGGGAGGAAGACGAGAATAATTAGGTAGTAAGTGAAAGATAATTTTGATTAAAATTTGACTGATTTGCTCAGAGTTAGCATTCTCTGAATTACAGAGAGAGGTGATTTCAAATGTTAGTATTCTATTATCAAAATTTCCTTAATTAGCAAGAAATTGAATGGAATTCGCTATAACACCAATTTCTCATAGTGTAGTAATATCATTGAATTTTTTTTATAAAATTAGTATTATTAGCATTATAAAAAAATGTTATAAAAGTCTTCCTAATATGTGAGTTCCCTGTTCCCTGTATATAGCTTTTCAAAATATTGTTTATTAATATTTAATTAATTATAATCCAGATAATTAGTGTTCTTATGTTTTTCCTATGAATTAAGTAGTCACAAATAAACAATTTATTGAGTTTTCTTTTTTTTGAAAAATTAATAGTATATCTGTATATAAAATATTTCTACTAAAAATTTATTATAGAAGGTAATATTTTTGAAATCTAAAATTGATTTTGATATCTCTTTATTTGAATTTGCAATATTTTTTTTTTGTACAATTACATTCAATATAAAACGTTTGTTATATACTAGACAACGAAAATCAATCCTCGGATTCATCAGATTGGCCAGATTGACGGGATTTTTAAAATAGTTTTTTCAGTTTATGCTTGAAATCGTGCAAAGTAAAGGGTGTTTAATTTCGAGGGGTGATTAATATCAATAGACAACAAATATTAAATGAAAGAAATCAAATCCTAAGAAATTTTTTAATTACAATTAAAATCTTATTGCATTTTAATCTAATGATAATAAAAATAAAAATTTAAATTTATTTAAAATTTTTAGAATCTTTGTTGTTCTAATAATGATATTTTTTTTTTTTCCAATTTCTTTTCAGAATAATAATTTTTTTTAATTATTTATATAAATATAAATTTCAAATGCATTCAAGGTAAAATCATAGGAGTTAAGATCCGGAATTCCAAAAGTTGTTGGGCTTGTCTTTTTTTTTTTTTTTTTAACTTTGTATGCGTGTTTGTCGCCGGAAAACAATGAAGCGACAATGCGCAGTGTAAAGAGTAGATTAGAAAACAAATAAAAATGTAAAAACTAAAACCCGTTTATAGAATTTATATTATTTATATTAGATTTTTTAAAAAAAGTAATCTCGTCAATAAAATAAATATATTAAATACATTAAAATAGTATATTATTATATCGATTTAAAAAAAATTTAACATTTGTCCAATAAATTAATTGCATTGAAATTTGAAAACTTAATTGGAGCAATGCAAAAGTTACACGACAAAAAAAAAAATAATATGTTTGATCCACTGCGGATTTAATAAATTTCACGTGCGAGTTTGTTTATAAATATCAAATACAGTATTCCCAAAAAGGTTTATCAAACTGACCACTTAATAACCTTATAACCTTATGCAAGGTTTACATGTAAAGAAATGTGAATTACTATGCTAATAAAGTTCTTAAGGATGTGCGGAAAGAATAAAGGGTGATTTTTTTTTTTAGGCGTAAATTTTTTTTTTTCTTTTCATGGTTACTGCATATTCAATTCATTTATGGTCACTTCTCATTGATGTTGCGTCGGCAAAAACCGCATTATTTAAATAAAGGCAATTGATTTTGATCCTGTTAAACTCCGGTTAGTTAGAATAACTCCTTAATTTTAAGGTGGAAATTAACCTGCGTCTTGTCTAACAATAGGTTAGTCAATTCTCCAATGTGGTTCCATTGTTAGAGAAAGAGGAAATATAATATTAATCACAACAAAGCCATAACCATAAATAGTAAATGTAAGATATCTAAGAATAAAGTCGTGAAACTCACGAAATTATCATTCTCCAATTTTGGAATCCATTTCTCGGAATTATATATTAAAATCTCGGAATTATATAAATTAAATTTATCCATTTCGAGAACTTGAGATAAGAATTTCCTTCAACCACCACTTTTCTTTTTTTTTTTCATTTTTCATTTTGACAAAACGTAATTCATTTTTTTTTCTTTTTTCTGTTTCATGTTCATAATATTTCAATTTGTCCTTTATTAACAGACTTGCATAAAAGTATATTATATTTTATGCTTTCTCCAATCTTTTGAATCTGCTTGGCACGCCCTTTAAAACGCTAGCATTTGAGCTAGCTCAATTTTCTTTATAAAATAATATTGTATAATTCGTCTGTCTTTTCCAATCGGTAAGTTACATCATATAGTTGTTATTTCATTATTTTTGATCAACGTTCTGATTTTAAACTTTTAATTGTTAGCTTGAAAATTTTCTTTTAAATGGGTTGTTTTTCCAGCAAACATACCTCCCAAGATTCAAATGGAATAGTTCCTTTACATGTTAAAGTTTGTCCAACATGTAAACGACAATACACACAACGCGGATGGTGTCAACCATGTGAAATAAAGCGATTTAAGGATGATTTTCATAATTGGACAAGCGGAAACAATGACCTTGATAATTTAATAAGAAATTCTCAATTAAATGTAACGGGTCCTTTAACGTTCTTGGAATGGATACCTTATGACAAATTTGAAGGTATCAAAGAGATAGATCGAGGTGGTTTCGGTATTGTTTATAAGGCTACCTGGGATCTTGGTCCAAAATTATACTGGGATGATTCAAAACGTCACTGGGTACGTGAGGGAGAAAAACAAATAGCTCTTAAACGTTTATATAATTCCAATAAGGCAAATCCGGAATTTTGGAATGAGGTACGTAAATCTTATGTCAGAAATATGTTTCATTTATCTTGTTGATAATTATATTAATCCAAATTGATATCTTATTTAGCTCAAACGTCATCGCTGCAAACAAAATAAGTTCATCCCTCGTTGTTATGGATTCAGTAGGGATCCAGTTACGAAAGATTATGTGCTAGTGTTCGAATTTGTGGATGGAGATTTGAGACATTATCTAAAGAAAAACTTTGTAGATATCACATGGGAGAAAAAATTGGGGATCGTCTATAATATTGCGCATGGGTTAATGACAATTCATAATGCCGGTTTGATTCATAGGAACTTTCACAGTGGTAATATACTAAGACATTTTAATGGGTCACAAAGTTTGACTTATATTTCGGATTTGGGACAATTTCTACCTGCAAACAAACAAGTTGAAGATGGCATCTATGGCGTTTTAGCTTATGTAGCTCCTGAAGTTTTGTGTGGTGAATCATATACTGAAGCATCTGATGTATATAGTTTTAGTATGATTATGTGGGAAATCGCGTCAGGTCAGAGACCTTTTTATGAACGTCCACATAGTGCACAGCTCGCGTGGGATATATGTAATGGACTTCGACCAGAAATCATAGTGGAAACTCCTCAATGTTATATCGAACTTATGGAAAGATGTTGGAATGCAGATCCAAAACAACGTCCAGATATTAGAGAATTGGAAAAGACATTGATGTCATGGGGTTGGCATATGGGCGTTTCTCAGAAGCAAAGCGTTTCGTATCAATTTATTTCCGCTGAAAATGAGAGGATACGATTATTAGAACATCTTGGTTCTCAATTGGAACCTTTCAAGAAACCACATCCGGAATCTTTTTATAAAAGCCGTCTTTTAAATTTTCCTGATTTACCAACTCCTCGCAATATTCACGACAGCTTTTGTGAATCTAATGATCAAGCTAAGTCTTTTTCAATTTCTGGAATGTCTGGTGAAGATGGTAATAATCAGAAATGAAACTTTGGTATAATCTTCACTGTCCATAAATGATTAAATATCTTTATGTATACAAAAGGAGACTTGGATGAGGCACGTATTAATTTCATCTTTCAAAGTTGTTATTGTGGTCTTAATTTATTAATTTTTGCGATCTATATTAATTTTATTTGATTTTATAGATTTACAATAAATAAGTTTCTCGAAACGATTGTGGAATACCTTGCAACTTCGATTGATAAAGATCATATCGGTAAGTTTGATATGTGGTGAACGAGAATTTAATTAATTTTCCTTTTAATTAACTTGTATTTCTTACTTTTGAAAAAAAAAAAGAAGTTTACAAGGTAAAATCTTGCAATCATTTTAATTGATGACAGATTCCAGTAAATCTGTCATGAGTTGGAGTTAATAGAAAATGATTAATGGCACAGTTTTGTGGGGGGGGGGGGCATTTGAATGATTTTTAATTAATATTAGTGATCATAATTAAATTTTCTCTTTAATTGCAATCGACTTGAAAGTCATGGACAATTTATTCAAAATATATATATATATATATTTTTTCTTCATTAGATTATATTTATTAAATTATATATTTCGAACTTTTATGTAAATTAGATTATGTAATTTTTTTAAAAGAAAAATCCTTTAAATTTATTGTATTTTAGAATAATATATTATGAAAATAAAATTTTTTTCTCAGAGAAATTAAGTCACGTGTTAATTCTTAAATTAAGGTATGATAAAACTAGGGATGGTTCGACCAGTTCGGTTTCGGTCCAATTTTTATCTGTTTGAGGGTAAAATCGAAATTTAGACCGGAGTTTATATATATTGTTAAAAAGATGAAACAAATAAAAATTGTAGAATTAGACACAGTGCAATGCGTGTTAATTTCAACATTCCCCAATCCAAAATTTTATTATAATAAAAATAAACCAAAAAAAAAAATCTAACTTTTGAGATAGTTTAAGCCTGAAATTGAAAGACTCTTTCTGATGGAACCGATATCGCTTGGATTGTTAAATAATCCTTGGCCATTTGAGACAATATCGGAAAATCTTTTTGATGAATTATCCACCAAATTAAAGGATTGGCATACATTCTTTGATAATTATTTTGATTAAGCAAATTGAGAAAATAATCCTTTAAAATGATAACTTTTTTTTTGATATAGTTTGTTATATAATTCTTGTAAATTATTAATATTTCCAGCTAAGTTATTATTATCAAATGGGGTATGCTGCAACAAAACCAAACAAAGTGAATGTTAACATGTGTTTTTATTATTTTATATTTTTTTTTAGATAATCAAATAGAATTTGTCTATTTTCATTTCCTAAATGTAAAATCCTATCTACAGAACAACCGCCTTTTGGAGTTTAGTCAACCCTTCTTCCGCCCAACTTTCATTAGTATTACCTGAACCTTTCTTTGCTATGGCACACTCTCATAAGAGGACTTTCACGTGATTGGCCGATCATATTCAATTGAATTTATACAGTTTAAAGTACTTTTTTAATTTATGATATTATCATTAGTGTATCACAAAAAAAATTTCATTTTCAGTTTTATAAGACCGTCAATATTCGCTGTGTAAAATAATCAAAAAATAATCAGAATCCTTGAAGTACTTTACTTAGAAGGCAATGTCACTATCAAATGCTATTATCAGATCTTGTGTAATTACTATATGCCAGAAAAAATTGACTCAATGGAGAAAAGTAACTGAGAATATTCTGACTAAAGGTCAAGCCAGTGAAACTTTACCAGATTATGTTCAAGAAGGCGATACAATTTGTTTAAATTGTTATAATGGAATTATTACAAATAACTCTCTTAAATTTCAGCAACATACTAAAGAATATGCCAAAACTAATGTGAAATGGCGTAAACTTGAAACTGAATCTAACTCTATTTTATCTTTTTCTAAAGCAATAGAAATTATAACAAATATCCTACATACTTATGAAAATAAAGAAAAGGAATCAATTTTATATTCATTTGACGAATTTCGAACAGTTATGAAAGCAAAGGATGCAAGGTTAAAACTATATTTTGATAAATTGTATCTTTCATCTAATCTATCTTCAAAAAATAAGGATTCACAGACACGAGCAAAGAAACAGCTTCTATTTATATGCTATTTTTTTTGTGAAATTCGAAATAAGTTTGTCAATAATGTAAAGAAGGATTTGATAATATATTTAGATTCTACTGGTGTTTCTAACAATTCTATTGATACTCTTGCAAATTTAGGTATAATTACAATATCTTGTATAGTTACATAATACAAAACTGCTGCATCTGAAGAATATGCCGAAACTGTCAATTCTGTACTTACTGAATATAAAGATAGAGCGATGATATTAAACATTGATGATTACCATAGCATTTATACAAAACAAATGCCAAATACAACTACTACATCTATCACGGCACATTTGATAACAATTCTAATAAATTCAATTACTACTCAAAATGCAATTTTAAAATCAAATATACATAATCCCATACTGGTTGATGCTAAATTAATCAAAATGAATTTAGAAAATAAATTTATGATACTTTATGGATTATCACATAATTAACATTGGGAATTTTACGAAGTTGATGATGATATAAAATTAGAGGAGTTAACAGTACATAGTTATAATATTAGATTAAAAGAAAAATGTATTATTCGTTCTATGAAGAATATTATTTTTGTAGATTTACAGAAAAATAAACTATATTCTTTAAATGTATATATTAAGGCAATTGATGTTGTTACAAATATTCCATCTATAAAATAATACATTTAAAAAGGACAGGTTATTCCCATTGTTACTGATTGGCCAGGCTAAATTTATTTTAGAACTGCTATTTCTTGTTATTTACTTTATAATGATTTTTCAAATATTACTAATTCAATTTTATCCTTTATTCCTATTATAGGTCCTTTACATATTTCATTAAACAGCTGAGAATTAGTATTCCTTCAATACCAGCCCTTTTTTTCAGCCATGTATAAGAATATATTTGAAGAACAAAAGCCTCTTGCACAAAAACCTAAACTATAACGTATTAATCTACTTTTAGAGATTTCTCGTAATACTTGGCAGAAAATTTCTAAAGTAGTTAAAGAAAAATTTGGATTCTTATGCAAAGATGCCAAATACCTCACGTTAAAGGATCTTCTTAATAATATAATTTCTTAATCCTAGATGTTTATGCTATCTTGTTTCAGTCTAGCGATTTTAATGCTTATTTGAAATCTTATTTTTGGGTTTTGACAATATTTCTTAGATTTCAACGCAAAAACTATAATAAAGCACCATTAATGTTTTTGTCTGATATTTTTTATTGGAAGTCAAATAATCATCCAATCCTAAAGGTCATTAAGACTGAACTTCTAAAATTTTCAGATGCAACTGTTGAGATTTTTCATAGTTTCTTGCATAGAGATACACAGAAACATACAGAAACACAACAGATTATCAAATATGAGCATTACATTAACCAATTATGCCTAGATGATAATGGTTTCAGAGAGAACTTTGCACACATATCAACATGGATAGCATATGAATATTCTGCACGAGATATTATAATTTTAACAAAAAAGAGTGCATACTTTTTGTTATAATGTTTTTCAGATATTTATGTACGCTTTTTTAACAATAAAATATCTTTAATATTTCTATTACAGACTGTTACTACGAATTTATCTTCAAAAAAGAAAAAGAAATCTAATAATGATATTATAATTCTAGCTGCAATAAAAATGCCGAAAGCAAAATTATGTCATCTTCCTTTAGGTTTTAGTTCTTTGCATAAGCCAAATCCATTTTATTATTATGATATTACTAATTGTTTTATTTCTTCATCTATTTATACAGATCCGATTATAGTTTTATCTTGCAGTCAAATATATCATAAAGTTTGTTATAATAATAATGAATTCAAGTATTCATATTGCCTCTCATTTTTATAAGATGACGTTGATGAAAATATCCAGTCCCTGCTAATACGATTACAATAATTTGATGAAATAAAAGTTAAAAAGGATGATGATAATATTCTTTATGATGATGACGATAAAAATGAACCTATAAGATATATAACATTTACATTGGAAGAAGCATTGCAAAAATTTCAATCACAATAATATTTATAAATAATAAATAAAAATTTTGATTTTAGTTAATTAGTAATCCAGCTTTATTTAACTCAATAATTTTCTGATTTTACATTAGTCTAATTAGTCTAAAAAATTAAAATTGTTAATTATAAATATTATAAAAATAAATTGCTAAACTAAAAACTATTCTTATTTTAATTATTTTAATATTGAAATGAAATTAGATTCTTTAAAATAATTGTCAAATAGCGCAGTTATGGTATGTTACGACACAGTTCAATTTTTTTCAAAGTTTATAAGTATATTAATTTTAAATTAATATCAGAAACTTTAATATAACTTATATTCAATAATACATAAATTTTAAACTTAAGTTTAAAATTAAATTTTAACTTTTAAATATAGTTTATATAGTTTGTATAGTTTAATATTATGTATAATAATATCACGTGTCATATATAAATAATTACAATATCAACTACAAAATTTGTGTAATCTTATCAGCTAATCATATGAAAGTCTTTTTATGAATTGAACTACTTATGGTATATTATTATGATGATGCAATTACTAAAAGAAAAGAAGAACATTCAATGAAAGGAATACAATTAGTTAAATTTCAAGAAAAGAATTTACATTCTATAAATGATTATGTAACAGCATTGCAAATGATTTTAAATATTGATAAAGATATCAGTTACTTATATAATCATGTTACACCATTAGTAGCAGATTGGCTTGAACAACTATTTATTCACAAAGCAATAACAAACTTGAATAAGAGAGATTCACAGTATTCAATACCAGTTAGAATTAATTAATTTATTCTGATTTTAGGATTTCTTCATGTTTCTTTAAACAGTAGAGAACATGTATTAATTATATATTATACCTTTTTTCAAAAACTGTTCCATTTCATATTTGGTAAAAGAAAGGTATTAGTAAAGAAACCTAAATCTTAGAGAATTAATTTGCTTCTTGATTTAGCATATAATGAATAATGTAAAATTAGAGATATCATTATAACAAAATTTGGAAGTACCTGTAAAGATATTGAGTACTGTATA